TGTTTTCGTTTTTTTTTTTTTTTAATAAGTGCGGCCCTTCATTTCCCGCCACAGCGCGAAAGTCCGGTACAGATTGTCGACGGCCCGAAAACTGGACCACCCGACCATTTCGCAACCGCTCGATGCAACCCGCCGTCATCCGCCCTTTACACTGTGGGGCTTTGGTGCACTTGCCAGGAACTTCGCGAGATCGGTGAGTTAGGGGCGGAYGACCTCCGAAAAACCCTCCCCTAACTCACCGGTACCGGGGGTTTTCGGTGGCGGGGGGACCTGTGGTTTAAAGGGCGTAGAGAACGAAGGGTTTTTTTACGGAGGTGCGGCCGTCGCGAGACGGAGACGGGATCAAAAGAGAAGTTTGTTTGCTGGGACACATCAGATATCTCCCTTCCCATCCCTGAACCATGGATTGCCCCCTCCTCCCCTTCCTTTTCTATTGTCAGTATTCTGAATAAGCTTGTGGATAATAATGTTATGCATGTCAATCTGCTGAGTACTGGAGCAACTTCCTTTTTAGACTCTTGGGGTAGAATTCAGAGGTTTTTTGGCTGGACTATTGTGGAATTTATGAATCAGAAATGTCTTTTGAAGAGTCTTAAACACAATTTTCTATAAGGAGGAGTCTTCCATATTATTAACTTAACACGAAGAAAGTGCATGACTGGTCTGCGTCGCAATGTGTTAGCCTCCGTCCTCCAGGTCCCTAACACTAGGCGAGGTCTCTATACATCTAGCCTACACCACCAGGTAAAACTCTACAATTCTATTGAGATGTTCCATAGGGATAAGTCCCGCACTATTCTGAAGGGAGTAGTAGGAAGGACACTTACGTCTGTGTGTGGCTTCCGTTGTCTGGCTCCTACAGTTGTGAGAGTTACCTTTGATGCTAAACTTCGGAAAACATTGGTTAATGATTTGGCGAAAACAGTAATAAGGAGACGTTGCCCTGACAGTTGGCTTGCTGATTTCCTGATTTCAAGACTCAGAATAGTATGGACCAGGAATAGGTCCGTAGCTGATATATTGCACAACCATAGATCTAAGGCCAGGGTCTCTTCTGATAGTTTTTTGTGTGCTAATAGTGATCGTAACTTTCCCAGGAACAATGAAGGGCATGTGGCCTTCAGATTTTCTGAGTTGTCCGATCTCCCGGCATGTTTGAGCAGCTCGAGGAACGTCCTTTGCCCTTCTAGACCACAGTCTGTTGGAAGGATCAAATGGGCATTGTCTGAGGGTCTGTCCCATATTCCTAGTAAAGATGGATGGGTTGGCAGTTCAAATATGATTATCTCCTGCTTCGTTAATAATGTACGGCACAGGGCAGTATCTGAAGATGTAGTTATTCGATGGAAGGATAAGTTAGGAGACATGGTAGTCTCACCTATTGACCATAATATTGGTCATTCCTATGTATGATGTCCCGCTATTTATTATGCGGCTCTTAGTAGGCTATATTGGGAGAGTGAGGGTTTTGAAGTGGATGACAGAAAGGAACATGGAGTTTCGGAAGTATGTATGAAAGGGTACCTTGGGATTCAGGCGCAGAAACTGGCACCTTGGAATAAAAGAGGGTGTCTGGGATCCGTATATGGGATTCCCAAACACAAGGATGTCACTAGGTGGAGACCTATAGGTCCTTCCTACTCTGAACTTAGCATCCGAGCATGCAGGTTGGTGTCCAAAGCCATCGATGGCCTCCTATGGCGAATTCCGGAGTCCGCTCATTTTTAATTTGAAAAGCACGAACCTTCTGATGAAACGTATAGTTCACTTGAACCACAAAGTAAGTACAATAACGAACGGGTTGATCCTATCTGCAAGTTTTGACATCAAGGAGATGTTTACGAAACTCCCGCACGATGCGATTATGGGTGCAGTTGAATGGATGTGCAATTTCTTAACGCAGAAAGGGCACAACTCAATCAGGGTTAATAAGGCCGGGAAAGGAACTGCACCGGGTAAAGCTTTCGGGGAACAAGGATGGCATCGGGTGAAATTCGCAGAAGTGATTCAGTTTATTACGTATGACCTTGGGTAACACTTTCTTTAAAGCTTCTAATTTTATCATTAGGTAGAAAATTGGCATCCCTATGGGAAAGACGTCTAGCCCCGCTCTTGCCTGTCTCCTTCAAGTTTGTGTCCATTATGAGTTTACCTTCCTCAACTCTTTAGGTAATGACCGCCGAATGATCTAGGGTCTCAGACTGGTTGATGATGTAGCTCTCTTCATTATCTTGCCGAACAAATCTAGAAAATCCTTCAAGAAAGCTAGCAGTATTTACAAGCAGTTCACCTCCATTTATGATAACAACTTGCACTTGGTGCGAACCGATGAAAGAGATAGGGATATGGGAATTTTTGGGATGCAGAGTGGAGTGCCAGACTTCGCCACCTGCTGTCTGATAAGAGGCTACCATCAAGAATCAAGAGGTAATATGGACTGAGAAAGGTATAGTTTTTTTGTCGATTCAGGACTATTGGTCTTATGGACCCAAGAGCAATAAGGTAGGACTKATTWAAGGTATTATGAACAGGGTACTAACCCACTCCTCAGATTCCAGAGGAGTGGGTATATTTCTGCTTTCTCCAAGGAGGGAGCTTAGGAAAAAATGGTTCCCTGGGAGAGTATTTTTTAAGACGGCCGAGGAATTCTCTGCAAGAAACAGGGACTGCAGGAAGGGTTGGGTCAGAATAGTATCAGAGGGTCTGATAAGGGGTCGGAATGACAGTCGGGGAAAGAATCATGTGAAATCTACCTACGGACAAGACTTCCGAATATGGGGACTAAGGGCCGGAAGCTATCCAACGAAACGATATCACGGCATATCACACTGGCACCGTGAATGCTCAGCGCCTCAACTACCGAAGAGAGACTCAGCATKTKTCGCCTTCGACCGGATCCGATCRCCAGCACGAAGGTTACTCCACGTTCCTGCATTACTTGGGATTTCTGGAAGTTCCKTATCCTTTGTCTTCCACCCCGTTCGAGACTCCCGCCTCCTCCATGGCGTTTCTTTTGAGCTTTCTACACTCGTGCTCTCTGTTCATCGTATCTGCTTGCCCTCTGTTCTGCTACCACGTACTCCTGTTCTCTCTTCTCCCGCCCGATGGATGACCACG